TTGTTTGAGTTTTCAGGGGGAGGTGGGACAGGTATTTCTGTTTGTTTTAATTGTTGGGGAAAACTTGGAAAATCTTTTAGATAAAACTTGCATATATTTGTGGCATTAACTCAGGCATTTTTCATTTCAGAAAGAAGAAATTGCTCTGGATGAGGTGAGTGTGTTTATGACACCCAACAAAACAGTAAAACAGATTTAATTTGTATGAAAGCACAGATAACTTTTTTATTTTTAAAGAGGTTTTATTGTAATATGAACTGTTGTACCAAGATCATATTTGTTCTTCAGGCTGGCTCATGATCTACCTCCTGCAGGCATTTTTCATTTCAGAAAGAAGAAATTGCTCTGGATGAGGTGAGTGTGTTTATGACACCCAACAAAACAGTAAAACAGATTTAATTTGTATGAAAGCACAGATAACTTTTTTATTTTTAAAGAGGTTTTATTGTAATATGAACTGTTGTACCAAGATCATATTTGTTCTTCAGGCTGGCTCATGATCTACCTCCTGACATCCTGGGTTTGTTTTATTTATCTTGTCAAAGTGTTCCCCTTTTGGTCTCAAATTTTCTGTACTTGGTACCTACTGCATAATGAATGCTTCTGAAAATTTTGAACAAAATTTGATACAAACAGACAGGAAAGTTTTTCTATATTAAGTAATTCTAATAATGCTTTCATTTTCACTATGATGAGTCTTCAGAAAGATTTGAAATAGGAATTTGAAACCTTTGCTGAGAAGAAACATCTGAGTGTTATGAAGAAATTGACTTTGTTTGACAAACTTGTCACTTTTTGATAAATGCTTTGCACAAAGGTTTTGATTAAACTGTTTTTTCAAATAGCACAACGTAGCATCTTAACATTTGTTTCTCCCAGAACACTAAAAATCTTTTCAGAAATTAGAACAAATTCTAACCATGTGACACAAATATACTGTTTTACATCTAGATGCTTTTTGTTGATTAGAAGCCAGTAAAATCTCTGAGTAGAGAGGGCAGACTTACGTTCCTGTTGAGGAGCCTGGTTGACAGAGTCCCTTGGGAGGCAGTCCTGAAGGGCAAAGGAGTCCAGGAAGTCGACGTTCTTCAAGAAGGAACTCTTAAAGGCATGGGAGCAGGCCATCCCCATGTGCCAAAAGACAAGCCATCGGGGAAGAAGACTACCGCCCTGGCTGAACAGAGAGCTTTGGCTGGAACTCAGGAGAAAAAAGAAAAGAGAGTTTATGACCTTTGGAAGAAGGGGCAGGCAACTCAGGAGGACTACAAGGATGTCGTGAGGTTATGCAGGGAGAAAATTAGAAGGGCCAAAGCCCAACTAGAACTTAATCTGGCTACTGCTGTAAAAGACAATAAA